CAGAGCCCTACGCGGGGCTCGAACTCACGGACCGCGAGATCGTGACCTGGCTGAAGTCGGACGCTTAACCAACTGCGCCACCCAGGCGCCCCTAAAAACTACAATTCCTAAAAGAGAAAGGAAGCTAGACCCCTTAAATTCTTCACTTCAGTCTACAGATCTTGTCAGTGTCAGCACTTCTAGGTCAGGCTATCTAAGGGACAAGGATAAGGGAAATGATGGTAAGAGCTGACATCTGCCAACTCCTCACAACAACCCTAGGAGACACGGACTTCTCGTAGCCTCCTTTTCAGATAGTTTGCCCAATTTATACAGTTATAAACTATACAGAATAAATACTGTGCTAAACAGTGGTTATTCAGAGCCAGCATAGGGTCAGTAAGTAGATGTCATGTGTAATTAATACAGTTTCCTTCTTTGATAGAAATAATGGTTTTGTTAAACAAGAAAAGAACACATACTGGGGAAGTAAGGCATTTGACAAGGTGTCCTGTGGTATCTGTGGGGGTAAGAGAGAGGCACATGGGCTCGTACAACAAGTGGATTCACAAGCAGCTAATGAATAGAGCCCCGCCCTCCAGGAAGGTGCTGTGTGGCTGTCTCTGTCCATGACCCCAGCCCATTCATTTTTGTCGGGTGCTTAAGACCTAAAAGAATGAGGTTAACTTAGAGCCACAAGTAATACTAATTTGTTGGTTGTTAGAGGCAAGATCCAAAAGCTCTCAACCAGTTGGAATAACGGGTGAATCAAATAAGATGAAACTCATGGAAAAGCATGATAATAAGGTTCTGCATTTGGGTATAAAACACTAGCGATTCACCACTTAACTGTGGCACCTGGAAGGGACAGGGCTCTGGGTGACTGGTTCAGCCTGACACTGTGGTGTGAGGATGGCTACCAAAAAGCTGCCGTGTTCTTTGACCACAGAGGTGACATTTTTCTCTATTTGTTACGTCTTTCTCTTCACCAGAATGTAACTCCTTGAGGGCACATCTTGTCTGTCCATTCACTGCTGTATTCCTGGCCACCCTAGAACAGTGCCTGGCATAGATAGCAGGTTCTCCGTTAATATGCGTGGAGGGAGTGAAAGGCCTTATTTCCAATATTAATTACTATTTCAGATACCACAATTTGTACACTTTTCTAATTAAAAGTAGTGGGTGCTAATTGCTTTAACTCCAGAATTTTTTGTTGCCTAAATGAAACCTGTGTGGCCTGTGGTCTACATGGTCTTTTGCTGAAATGAGAAAGTTTTTAGAGATGAAGAATATTTTAAAACTGTTACATAGCAATGATAGAATTTGAATGTACATGCTCCTCCTCCTTAACAGATCAAAAGTTGAGGAAATAATGCTAAATGTTTCTCCAATATATGTGATTTGACTGACGAGGTATTTTCTAGGAGTATAAGATACACTGTAGTGTTAAATCAGGCATAATGTCCGCATGAGTGCTGTACAACCTAAAGATACAGACAACCCAGAAATCACTCATTTTCCCTTTCTGACTACAAATTAAGAGAGATCAGTTATATGAGTTGTTTAAAAAGTAGGACCCTGGTACACTTTTGGTGTTCATTTTAGTAATTGCTGAAGCTAATACGCTCTGTTCTTTTTAGGCTCGTAATTTTTGTCATGAGTTTTGGTTCCGTAAATTCTGACTTAAATAAAGTGGCCAAGTGTAACCATGACCAGGTGTGAAGATGCCATCCCTGAGGGGGCGAAACCCAGCAGCACGTCACCAGCCCCACTTCAGCTCAGGCCTCATCACCCACAGTCTTGGAAGAGACCCCTCTTAGCCTCTAGCTGTCTCACTGCAACTGTCTGCCCTGCTTTCTGCAGAGTTGAGAGGACCGCTGAGTGTTTGCTCAGATAGGATGTGGTGGTGTAGCTGAAAGGAACCGTCAGAAAAGATTAGATGTGTTTGACAATTCACCTTGACTTAAAGTTCCATTGAGCTACTAAATAGATTCTTCAGAGAAGTTATGTACATTTACACACACACACACACACACACACTGAAAACTTAGGTAATATTAGAATAGGACTTAAGAGAATAAACACTGGATAGATATTCTGAAGATAAACTTTCAGAATATATGTTAAGACCTTTTTTTCTCTTATTTTCTCCAGGTTTCATGACTTATCTCGCGGAGCCTTTATTCACAGAATGGGCCAGGTTTTCCAATACCAGGCTATCCCAGACAATGCTCGGACATATGGGGCTGAATAAAGCCAGTTGGAGGGGGTTGCAGAGAGAACAGTCCACCAGTGAGGACACTGATGCTGCGTTCGAGGAGTTGAACTCACAGCTATTACCTCAGGAAAATCGGTTATCATAGCCCCCAGAATCGTCGGAACAGACTGCCTCCTGCAGGTTTTTAGAAATGTGAAATGGGGTCTTGAGGTGAGAGGACTTTCTTGACTGCCAAGGTTTCCGAGGGAATGAGGCCAGCGTTATTTATTCCCAAGGTGTCCTCTACTGGATCGTGCGACCCCACTTTTTAATTATAAGACCTGAACATACAGCAATATGCACTTGGCTTTCGTGTGAAACCTTGAATATGCAAAGCCCAGCAGGAGCGGATCCGAAAGGAGTAATGAAGGAAGTTTTGCAACGTGCCACCAGTTTTTCAAAGCATTTACTCCTCGAACCGTGAAACTTGAACTGTATCTTTCAGCAGAAATCTCTTGGAATTTAACCAGTCTGACGCAACATTGTGTATCTGTACCTTCCACTAAGTTCTCTCTGAGAAAAAGGAAATGTGAAGTGCCCAGCCTCTGCTGCCTCCTGCAAGACTCGATGTTTACAAATCAACTCTGAAATATTGGTTCTAAATTGCCTTGGAGCATGATTGTGAAGGAACCACTAAGAATTTTAAAGATCAAACTTAAACTGCAGCTCTTTCCCCCTGGTTTGCCTTTTTCTTCTTTGGATGCCACCAAAGCCTCCCTTTTGCTATAGTTTTATTTTGCGCACTGGAAACTGAGCATTTATCATAGAGTACCGCCAAGCTTTCCCTCCAGTGCTGTTTGGCAATGCAATTTTTTTTAACTGTTAGTTTCTGATTTGGGGCGGGAGGGGAAGAACACCAGTGTCCTAGCTGTATTATGATTCTGCAGTGAAGACATTGCATGTTGTTTTCACTACTGTACTCTTGACCTGCACATGCAAGAAACAGGTGGAATGTTTAAAACACCATAAACAGCTCAGGGTATTTGCCAATCTGAAATAAAGTGGGATGGGGAAGTGTGTCCTTCAGAGCAAGGGTACTAAAGTCCCTTTCGCTGCAGTGCGTGAGAGGTATGTTGTGTGTGGATGTGTGGACGTATGTTTGCGTGCATGTTTGTGCATGTGTGACTGTGCATGTGTTATATTTATCCATGTGGGAAAGGATTTGAAACGTAAGCTTTTATTTATTATCTTAGAATGTGACACGGTGCGCAGCCACACTGGGGGAGGGGAAGGTAGGCGAGCTGTAACAGACCGCTCCAGTTGCCTTAAACTATGCACAAAGCTAAGTGACCAAACTTCTTGTTTTGATTTGAAACAAGTGCATTGTTTTCTTGTCCCTCCCTTTGATGAAACGTTACCCTTTGATGGGCCTTTTGATGTGAACAGATGTTTTCTAGGACAAAATCTAAGGACTAATTTTAAACTTCAAACATTCCACTTTTGTAATTTGTTTTAAATTGTTTTATGTATAGTAAGCACAACTGTAATCTAGTTTTAAGAGAAACCGGTGCTTTCTTTTAGTTCAATTGTATTTCCCTTGTTACTGTAAAAGACTGTTTATTGATTATGTTTACAGTTCGTTGCAACAGCCATTTTCTTGGGAGAAAGCTTGAGTGTAAAGCCATTTGTAAAAGGCTTTGCCATACTCATTTTAATATGTGCCTGTTGCTGTTAACTTTTGATGAATAAAAACCTATCTTTTCACATATTTATCTTTGATATTTACCTTATAACTCAATCTTTTGGAAATCTGAATACTAAATTACTAGGAAATCCAAGGTTTAGCTTCTTGGTTCTAGCATTCACTCATCAGGTATTTATTTAGGCAGATGCAGGTGCTGGCCAAGCCCTTGGGGTCATCTGTCATTATCTGCACCTCATGAGTGAGTGAGTGGCCCCACTGTGTGTGCTCAGAGTTCTGACTAATACATGGTACAAGTCAGCTTTGAGCCCAGGCCTCTGGACTCCACAGCCTTTTTTGTCCCCACGGTTGGGAATTGCGTTAAGATATCAGCACTCTTACAATACCAAAGTACTAGCTGTAATTGCTTTTTTAAAGTAAAGTAATAAGAAATGGCCACTTAATTCTGCTTGGTTGATATCAATGTAAGAAAGGCACCACTGGGCCTCTCCTGTGTCTTCTCAAGTCCAATTCATTAGGAAGGATATAGTTCAAGTTTTAAAGTCAAACATATTGTCATTATTTGCACAGAAGAATGATGTCCAATAGAAATAAAATGTGAGCCACACGTAAGTGAATTTTCAATTTTCTACTAGCCACATCTAAAAAAAGGGAAAAGAAACCAGTGGAATTAATTTTTATTCCAATATATCCAAAATATTGTATTGTTTCAATATGTAGTCATTATCTTAGAGAACAATTATTGAGATGCTTTACATTCTTTCTTGGCCGGGGGGGGGGGGGGGAGGGGGGCGGGTACCAAGTCTTTGAAATCTGGTGCGTATTTTACACTTACAGCACATCTCCGTTTAGACTAGCCACATTTCAAGTGCTCAGTAATATCCGCATGTGGCTGGTAGCTACCATATTGGACAGAGCGGGTACAGGAGTTTGATGGTACAGAGCGGACTGTACCTGGGGAAGGTCAGTGACCACTTAAGGTGGCATCATCCTGGCAGATCTGATGCATCTAGTTGTCTGATTAGATCTTTACAGACCTAGTATGTCAGCACATGCAGAGCACAACGGTCTTAGAGGAAACTCACATTAACCAAGCTCACAGTAACTGATAGTTGTTAAAAATGTTAGTACTTTAATTTACAATGAGAAATGTAACTATCAATCATTCTCTCCCTTTAGGCAAATCTTCTGGGGAAGTCCATTTATGATCAGCCGGTTACTTGGTGAGCGTGGATTCTGAGCAAGGGAAGCAAGTTGCCTCATGCATCCATCTCCCTATGGGGACTCACCTGCTGATTTTCATGTTTGTGGACCAGGGTACGCTCTTCCCCCGGATGATTGTAGAGATTCTCTGCCAGTAGTTGCCTCTCCACATCAGCTTCTGATGGGCACATCCAGTAAATCTGTCAGTACCTTCAGCCTTTGTCTCAGTTGAACCTGCCTGGGTTCCATCTGCCGGTGTACGATTGCTTACTTCTGCTCTGATCCATTTCTTATTGTTTGATAGTCAAAGGATTATCTTATTTCCTTTCTTGGGGGAGACACCTCAATGTTGCTCCCATCTCCTGCCTATACGTAGAATAAACCCACTGACAGATTATGTTTTGTTACATATATGTGGAAGTCATCATCTATAGCCCTGCTCCTTAAATATAACCTATATTCCTTGAACATTGGTTTTCTAGAAAAATTTGAGGAAACAGTTCAGAAATTTAGAAGATTACATTTCAAATAAGTAAATGTTATGGAACAGAAAAATACACATGAACTTTTAAAACAGGAGACTTCAAAGAATTGTCGAGCATGTCGCAGCCCTGTGGGGCTCTACCCAACACTTCAGTAGTAGGGGGGCATCTCCTCTGCTCTGGAGGTAAAGGTCCTTGGAGAGAAAACTTTGGCAAGCCTTAGCTTAATGAAAAACCAATCTGGTACCTGGCCAATATTTCTATTATGTAAATGTGATGGTTTATAATGATCCTCTTTGTATAAAAGAAGCAAATATTTTATGTCCTTTGCAAACCTGGAAAATATATTTGTACCTGAGGTACAGGTTAGAGGTGCTAGTAATTCTTTGAAGATTCCTACAACGGTTTCTTTTCCAAAATGCTTTCTTGGCTCTTAAAACTTTGAGTTTTCTTAAAACTCTAACTTTCACATCAGGGGTTTACAGTGTTTTCATGTGTACTTTTTTTAATGTATAAATATTTTGTTTAAATCCTCTCCTGATCAGTGTCTCCTGCTTGAGAAAATAAACAGTGACCGACAGCTACTATGCATTCACTAATGTTTTTAAATAAATGTGCATACTACTCACCATGGCATCAGCACACATCTGAAACATACAGTTGTACAGTTATGTGCAAGACTTAGTCTGAGCCATTCCTTGCTCGCTACGGATCTGCAGACAACCTGTGTCTTTGGAAGGCCCCCAAGGATCCATGGTCTTTTCCTCGGAGGTGAGCTGACAGGGGGCGCACAGCAGGTCTCCTCCAACTTCTAGGCTCTTGTGCTTATTAGCACGGGGCTAGTAGCTTCAATTGGGCCATCGATGTTTGAACAAACTAATTCGGTATTAATGTGTTTTCTCTTTAGCCATCAATCTATAACATTGAGAAATGATATTGAAACTAATCTGTCTGTGCTGAATCATGTGGTCAGCAACATCTGGGTTCCTGTTGTGTGCAGAGTACTGCACTGGATGTAATAAAGGTATTAAAAATTACAAAACCCTCGTCTCTGTTCTCAAAATGTTTGAGTGACAAAATGATGTGTGAAAAGTGTTCTATAATATGGCAGGTTTCTTCATTTTATGAAATGAGTGCACAATGTTGGGGTGTGGGTTCAGAGAATGGTTTAGTTTGGTCATTGATGAAAATGACACCATTTCTAGTAATTCTTGAGGGGTTTTTTTTGGTTTTTTTTTTTTTGTTGTTGTTGTTTTTTGTTAATATCCATGACTGGTAAAACCATCTAGCTTTCAAATTTGATTCTAAAGTATAGTCTCCACATCCTCACCAACACTTGTTATTTTTCCTTTTTGATAATAGTCAATCTGATAGGTATGAAGTGATATTGTGGTTTCAGTTTGCATTTCCCTGATGATGGATGAGGCTAAGCATCTTTTCATGTGCCTGTTGGCCATCTGTCTGTCTTTGGAAAAATACCTACTCAAGTCCTCCGCCCATTTTTTTAAAATCAGGTTGGTTGTTTTCTTGATACTAAGTTATGTGAGTTCGTTTTATATTTTGGATATTAACCCCTTATCATGTGTATGATTTGCAAATATTGGCTCCCACTCAGGAGGTTGCCTTTTAGTTTTGTTGGTGGGTTTCCTTTGCTGTGCAAAACTTTTTAGTTTGATATGATCCCACTTGTTATTTTAGTTTTTATTGCCCTTGCCTGAGGAAACTGGTCCAAAAACATATTTTAAGACCATTGCCTAGGGTTTCTTCTAGAAGGTTATGGTTTTAGGTCTTATATTTAAGTCTTAATCCATTTTGAATGTATTTCTGTATATGGTGTAAAATAGTCCAGTTTCCCAACACCATTTATTGAGATATTGTGCATCCTTGGGTCCTTTATTGTAGATTAATTGACCCTATATGCCTGGATTTATTTTGGGGCTCTTTATTCTGTCCCATTAACCTATGTCTGTTTTCATGGCAGTATTACACTGTTTTAATTACTAGAGTTTTGTAATAAGGTTTGAAATCAGCGTGATGCCTCCAGCTTTCTTGTTCTTTCTCAGGATTGCTTTGGCCATTGAAGGGTCTTTGGTGGTTCCATACAAATCTTAGGATTATTTGTTCTAGTTCTCTGAAAAATGTTGGTATTTTGATAGAGATTGCTGTGGATCTGTAGATTGTTTTGGGTAGTATGGACATTTTAACAATATTAATTCTTATAATCCATAGGCATTGGTATGTGTCATCTTCAGTTTCTTTCATCAGTGTCTTTTAGTTGTCATAGTATAGGATTTTCACCTCTTTAAATATTCCTAGGTATTTTCTTTGTGATGCAATTACAGACGGTATTATTTTCTTAATTTTTTTTTTCTGATAGCTCCTTCTTAGTGTATAGAACTGCAACTGCTTTCTGCATGTTAATTTTCTATACTGCTTCTTGACTGAATTCATTTATAGTTATGATAAATGAATTTTGGTGGAGTCTTCAAGATTTTTTTTATGTATACTATGTCAACTGCAAATAGTGACTTTTGCTGCTACTTTTCCCATTTGGATGTCTTTTCTTCTTCTTTCATGATAGCTAGAATTCCCAATACTCTGTTGAATAAAAGTTGCAAGAGTGGGCATCCCTGTCTTGTTCCGATCTTAGAGGAAAACTTTCAGGTTTGTCATACGTGGTCTTTATTATGTTTAGATATGTTCCTTCTACGCCCACTTTGTTGAGTTATCGAATTTTGTCAAATGATTTTTCTGCATCTGTTGAGATAATCATAGAGTTATCTTTTTTTTTTTTTAATGTTTATTTTTGAGAGAGAGTTCAAGCATGGGAGGGGCTGAGAGGGGGACAGAACATCTGAAGCAGGCTCCACACTGACAGCAGCAAGCCCTATGTGGGGCTCGAACTCAGGAACCGTGAGATCATGACCTGAGCCGAAGTCAGATGCTCAACCGACTTGAGCCACCCCCAGGGGCCCCCTATGCTTCTTTAGTGAATGTGGTGTATCACCTTGATTGATTTGCAAATGTTGAACCATCCCTGAAAGAAATCCCATTTGGTCCTGGTATATGATCTTTTAATATACTAAATTCTGTCTGCTAATACTTGGTTGAGGATTTTTGCATCTCTGTGTATTGAGGATATTGGCCTGTAATTTTCTTTTCTTGTGGTTCATCTGCTTTTATCAGGGTAATGCTGGCCTCTGATTTTTATTATTTCCTTCCTTCTACTAACTCTAGATATGAAGTTAAGTTGTTTACTTGAGATTTTTCTGGTTTCTTGAGGTAGGCCTGTATTGCTGTGAACTTCCTTCATAGGACTTTTTGCTGTATTACATGGCTTTTGGAAAGTTGTTTTGGTTTTCACTGACCTCAAGGTGTTTATTTCCTCTGATTTCTTCACTGACTTCTTTTTTTTTTTTTTTTTTAATTTTTTTTTTCAACGTTTATTTATTTTTGGGACAGAGAGAGACAGAGCATGAACGGGCGAGGGGCAGAGAGAGAGAGGGAGACACAGAATCGGAAACAGGCTCCAGGCTCTGAGCCATCAGCCCAGGGCCCGACGCGGGGCTCGAACTCACGGACCGCGAGATCGTGACCTGGCTGAAGTCGGACGCTCAACCGACTGCGCCACCCAGGCGCCCCTTCACTGACTTCTTAATAACATGTTTTTTAGTCTCCATGTGTTTGTGTTTTCTTCTTGTAGTTGATTTCTAGTTTTATACTGTTGTGATCAGGAAAGTGATGCCTGGTATGATTTCAGTCTTCTTGAATTTATTGAGAGTTGTTTTGTGGCCTAACATATGATCTGTCCTGGAGAATGTCCTGTGTACACTTGAAAAGAATCTGTATTCTTTATTTTGGGGGATGGAGTATTCTGTATATATCTATCATGAAACCCATCTGGTCTAATGTGTCATTTAAGGCCAATGTTCTTATTTTTTTGGATGATCTATCCATTGATGTGAGGTATTGATGTCCCCCACTATTAAAGTATTACAGTCGGTTTCTCTCTTTACATCATTGTCTGTTAATACTTTGCTTTATATAATTATATATTTACATGCCCCTATGTTGACTGCGTAGATATCTACCAATGTTATATCCTCTTCTTGGATCAACCCTTTATCATTAAGTAATGCCCTCTTGTTACATTTTTGTCTGTTTTGTGTGATACGTATATTGTTACACCAGCTTTCTGTTTCTATTTCTATGGAATAGCTTTTTTCATCCCTTCACTTCCAGAAGATACGGGTCTTTAGATCTGAAATAAGTCTCTTGTAGGCAGCATATAGATAGATAGATAGATCTTTCTAAAATTCATTCAGCCACCGCCTGTGTCTTTTGATTAAAGTATTTGGTTCATTTACATTTTTTCCAATCAAATGCAACATTTATTAACATAAAACATTTGCTACATTCTTTGCTAACAGTGGGTCAAATGAACAAACTGATCACAAGTGAACTTCATTAGTGAAAATCTAATGCAGTCGGTGGGGGCTGACATTGTTTTGGAAAATACCATGCATGTGCTTGGTGGATTGAGCATCTCTATGTTTCTCATCTTTAAAACTACTTCCTAACAGAATTTAGCGATTCTGGGATGGAACTTCTGGTAGCCAAAGAAATTAACATTCTAACTCACCTGTTTTAGGTTTTAAGTTCATTTGCATTTAAAGTGATTATTGATGAGTACTTACTGCCATTTTGTTCACTGTTTTCTGTTGTTGTAGTAGTTCTCTGTTCCTTTCTTCTCTTGGTCTCTTCCCTTTTGGTTTGATGGTTTTCTGTTATGTTTGAGTTCCTTTGTTTTTTGTGTATCTTTTGTAGGTTTTTGGTTTCTGGTTACCAGGAGGTTCATATATATTGACCTATATACATACTAGTCTATTTTAAGCTGATAATTGCTTAAGTTGAAACAAATCCTAGGGGCGCCTGGGTGGCGCAGTCAGTTAAGCATCCGACTTCAGCCAGGTCACGATCTCGCGGTCTATGAGTTCGAGCCCCGCGTCGGGCTCTGGGCTGATGGCTCAGAGCCTGGAGCCTGTTTCCGATTCTGTGTCTCCCTCTCTCTCTGCCCCTCCCCCATTCATGCTCTGTCTCTCTCTGTCCCAAAAATAAATAAACGTTGAAAAAAAAATTTAAAAAAAAAAAAAAAAAAAA